CTAAAAATTGCTAAATGATTCCAAGTTTTTGCCCCACCGTGTATATTTGATGTACAGTAATGCGTGTAAGGTTTACAGAATGACGTTGCTGTTTAAATATTTTTCACTGTGAAAATTCAGAGATTCGACTTTTTCACATGCAAGCTCGGAACCAGTTGATTATATGATGAATATTATCTAATTTTATCGAAAAAAAAACTTTCCGATTATTATATCTGTCACGCGTTAGATTCACGCTGGATCTTGCTGAATACTTTTAAACAGTAATCGAGAATGAAATGTGGCACAAATAAAAGGATCAAAGTCAGTTTCATCGTTCTCCCACATTCTCCTGTGGCGAAAGTTAATCCATAACGTAGCGGTATTTTTTTTATGTAACATTGTCACTTAAAAAGATCGATCGCTCACAGGAACTGTAATTGAGAAAACTGTGAAGAAGATGAAAACCGCGTTAGCATTATGGTAGAACCTTTGTTATCCGAACTAATAAGAGGAACATAAAGTTTTAGATGATAAAACAGTTACTTAGATCAGGTATCAAGTGAAATCCTTGCTGATTCGTACAATAAATTCTATTGCATATGGATCAGCTTAACTGGAGCAATTTATGTGAGAAACGTAATATATATATATATATCTTTGTATATTGCTGTAAAAATATAAAATTATACTATACAGCTTACTAATATATATATATATATCTTTGTATATTGCTGTAAAAATATAAAATTATACTATACAGCTTACTAATATATATATATATATCTTTGTATATTGCTGTAAAAATATAAAATTATACTATACAGCTTACTAATATATATATATATATCTTTGTATATTGCTGTAAAAATATAAAATTATACTATACAGCTTACTAATATATATATATATATCTTTGTATATTGCTGTAAAAATATAAAATTATACTATACAGCTTACTAATATATATATATATATCTTTGTATATTGCTGTAAAAATATAAAATTATACTATACAGCTTACTAATATATATATATATATCTTTGTATATTGCTGTAAAAATATAAAATTATACTATACAGCTTACTAATATATATATATATATCTTTGTATATTGCTGTAAAAATATAAAATTATACTATACAGCTTACTAATATATATATATATATCTTTGTATATTGCTGTAAAAATATAAAATTATACTATACAGCTTACTAATATATATATATATATCTTTGTATATTGCTGTAAAAATATAAAATTATACTATACAGCTTACTAATATATATATATATATCTTTGTATATTGCTGTAAAAATATAAAATTATACTATACAGCTTACTAATATATATATATATATCTTTGTATATTGCTGTAAAAATATAAAATTATACTATACAGCTTACTAATATATATATATATATTAGTAAGCTGTATAGTATAATTTTATATTTTTACAGCAATATACAAAGAACTTTGTTCTGGTTCAATGATGTGCGACAGTGAATACGAGACTCTTGATTATCCGAATCTGTGATATTTAAATTGAATATTATCATTATTGTCCAATATATATATATATATATATATCTTTGTATATTGCTGTAAAAATATAAAATTATACTATACAGCTTACTATGAAACTATAAACGTTACTATATACTATACTATATAATATAATATACTATACTATACAGTATACTATACAGTTATAAAACTTGCTATACAAATTACTATACAGCTATAAAACTGACTATATAAATTACTGTGCAACTATTACTAGTACTATTACAAATATTACAAATACGTTGATATTGCAGTGGTTTTATAGCAAGCTATAGCGACGGTGAGTCTCGCCTCCGGTACGAGTAAGTAACACGGAGCAGTAGACCCCATGGCAGTGATTCACCTAGCTACAATAAAAATATGTCTCGCTCCCCAGCCCTGGCGAGAATCAAGCCGAACCGAGTCCAGAGAGTCGAAGTGCCGACTTAAACCACCCCCACATACGCCCGACGCCCAAAGGGTAGGTTGGACTTGGATCCGACCAACCCGTGGCCGCCATTATTGACCATCGGTCTTGATTAGCACGACGATACTATTCGGCCTCCCCCGTTTCGCAACCTTCAACATCCTCCGAACGTCGCCCAGCTTACCATTCCCGTTACATATTCTTCTTGCGCGCCATTTGTTTCTTTCACTTTCCACGCAAACACGTTTGAAGACTCTCTCTCTCTCTCTCTCTCTCTCTCTCTTTCTCTCTCTGGTCTACGAAGAGGAAACGAGAAAGAGCCGATCTGGTACCTCGTGTTACTTATTCAAGATTCTCGTTGTAGCACGCTTAATTAATGGGAACTTCTTCTACGTCCGTCTTCGGTTAACTAAGGAAGAGTTTCCCAAAGATTTGAAGTGCCCTCGTGGAATCTGGATAGCCGGTTTGAATGCGTGATAGAGGGTCTTTATTAAACGGTGCTTGGGAATGATGTTCAACCTACATTTTAAAGTATCCGGGAAAAATTAGCTTCATTATTCAAATATCCTGGCGATTTAAATATTTCGGTACAGTCAAATATTCATTCGTCCGCGAACATTTTCAGGTAAGTTTAACACGCGTCGGGTTGAATTTATTACTACTGTTTCATTACAGACATGCAATCGGGCAAATGGATTGCATGACGTATTCATGTTTTACTTTTTGTGAATTGCTCGTTGCGTATGAATTCTAAATAGTTCGGACGGAAGAGTGTTCGATCTCTGTTGAAATCGCAGGAATTAGCAGTATCGTGAAGGAAAAAATTCTGTCGAACGTAATTTTGAATAACAACTGACCAGTAGCCGGAAGACAAAGTTTGTTTTTGTACAAAGTCGAAGAAAGATTTAAGGGGGTTGTGCTAGTTTCGACAAAAATTATTTGCTCATAACTAAATATTTTCTATTTTGATAACAAAACGAACTGAAATAGAATAGTAATTGATTTGTTGTCTTAATAGATTAAATTGGTTGGAAATAACAAATCCACGAATTTGTGCTTGGAGTATAAGCGACATGACTTAACGACGTTTCTTCGTAATGTTTACGTTTGCAGGCGCACTCTAAACATAATTCAGCGGAATAATAGTTAAACTGTGAAATTCTGCGCATATATGCACCTTACGGAGATCAAGAAAGAATAAGGTTGCTACTCTAATTAGCATTTCGTTCCATTTCGTAGTTACTTCTTGAAAAAACTACATTTCTCGAAAGAAAATTCTACCTTATTTTAGTTTGCTGGTACCATAAACGTGTACGTTTACATGAAATTTCGGAGTCTAATAACAATAACAAATAGGCAAAATGAAATAGAGCATATTAACTGTTTGGCAAAGTAGGTAGGTAAACCACAAAACAGTGAACGCATTAGAAGGATATGAAAATAATGTTATGTTGCTGTACTACAATGATTAACCCTTAAATGCATGATTTTTTGTTTTGAATTTTAAAAAATCCTTTTTCTATAGGAATGTAGTCATAGGTTACGTAAAAAATAAATAAAAAAATCTAGGTAATAATATTGAGTATTTATTTTGAAAAAACGTTGTATGTGGACTTTTGGCAACAATATGCGTTTATTACTAAAATTATCGTAGACGTAAACAAATGGTCATGTATTTATATTATCTATTAGTATAGGAATTTTCACATTATTTATAAATGAAATGCAGCAAAGCAATTGCGATTTTTGTTGTGACACAAAGCAACCTTGCATTTGATGCACTCAGTCCGTGAAAATCCTTTGCAACCTGGAAGTTATCACCCACCACATTCAAATTTCAAAAAACATATAACTTACTCGCCAAAAGTAATGTCAAGTCTTTTCTTTCACACATGGTCTATTGTCTATTGTTATCAACGTGTATTCGGAAACGCACATACTCAGGTTTTTGAATAAAATTAAGTGGAACTGGAATGTAGACAATTGTCAACAGTATGCATTTAAGGGTTAAGAAAAGAAATGTTCAACACCTGTTTCTTCCCAGAATCTAGTAAAGGCTCTGAATTTAACGCACTTCGTTATATAAAAATATAAAAAAGATACAAGCTGAAATGTTCGTCTACCAGTTAAGAAGAAAAGGAAGGGAAAGAAAAACTTATTTCCTCTTCTAATTTGAATAATTGAATAATTTTCATTACTCGGAAACAACATGCTCATATATGGTTACGAACTTAAAATGCTTTCACCGTTTTATGTTCCACACTTCTTACTAAAGTGCATAAAACCCGCAGTCGACAAATTACAAGCGATTAATAATCCTTTTAAGCAGATACTGTCTGTGTCTGCATGTAGTAGATTAGACTGCGAGTCTTTATGCAAATTCTCATTTCCATTAATCATCTTCTGAATGTTTAAAGAGCAGACGAATTTCGTGCATCGACTAAGAAGTTCCTTACGACGAACGTAGAACATTAAAACAATCAATTTCCATCAGCGTTCTCGTTTCTTCGCGTTCCACAAACTTGCATGTACCATAAGCGCGCAAAAAAGAAAGAAACAATGAAAGCCGGGAAGTAAAATTTTGCGAAAGATTAAAAAATCTGACCGCTGCGAAATTAGTCCGGGCGTTCTTCGCTCGTTGTCGCAAATCTTTTGGGGGTCATACCGCGGTCTAATCGGGGTTCTGTACGGGCAAAATAAGGAAAGGTCTCGCGAGATTTTTCACGTTCGACTTTGGATTCGATTCGGCTTGGCGAGTGTGCACCGCAAATCACTCGAAAATCTTCTAACACGACCGGCCGGTGTCCCCCGCGCGGTTTCTCGCACGAGGGAGACAGGTTGCGGCGCACGCGTGCCATCATCGATACCCCACCAAAGTTTCCCCCCTTTTAGAGCGAGCCGGTACGAGACGGCTCGGTGGTGGCCGTCGATGGTAGGGTGGAAGCCTCTCCTCCGACAGGGCGATGCACACGGTTTCACAGAACGTTCAGAGCCACCTCCACCTTTCTATGCGTCCCTCCAAGTCCCTCCAGGTCCCTCCGGGTCTCTGATCCTCGTCGCTGAAGCCGGGAACCCCGCGAAGTCGGCTTCATAGTGCCGCGGTACCCGCTAATCAAATCGCGCATTCCGAGATCTCGCGGTAGTGACCTCTTTCCGGACCACGTCCCTTAAAGCTCGTAGTCTTCGGACCTCGAGGAAACGATCGTACGTTCACGCAACTTGCGCTGCACGTTGCGAACGTTTCGGTTATCGGGACATTCCCAGTGCGATTCCATCGTTACACGGTCGCACGTTGCGGCAGCCGCCGATGAACAACAAACAACTGTGCACGCCGTCGCGAAAGAAGACGATAAATCATCGAGGAAAGGACACGAAAGGATACCCGGGGTGATTTACATTTGTTTTCGTGGACGTTTCGCAGATATTCTGCACGGTGGACGCTATAAAAGGCGAGGCGGATTAATTCAGGGATCGGGCGAACAGGAGGAATTTTAAGATTCCGCAGGAAAAATCCGGCTGCGGACACGGCGGAAAGAAAGTCATCGGGAGTGTGCGCCGGCAGATAATATCATAGTCGGCTGAATGGACGGGACCGTCGGCCGATGACGAGCCTCGGACGGGTTTGTTGCACCGATGCCAGAGAAAAAAGGGAAGAAGAGCGTGGCAGGACGAAAATCGCGATTCAAGAGCCGTGGAATTCGTCGTTTCTTACCGGTCGTTGGCGGTCGAGCGTATTCGGGTCGAATCGCCAGACGAAAAGGAGGCCCGGCGACAAGCGACGCGACGCTCGGCCGGACCGGCCGAAGGTATCGCCGCTACGTGATTCATTGGGTTTTTCTCTCTATCGGCATTCGGGATTTACATCGGGCCCCCGGGCCACGATTTCCATCGACACGCGTGTAAAAACCGCGCGGCCCGAGCCCGGCTGGCCGATCAAAGAAGAACGGAGAGGAGATAGACGCGCGGCTGCGAAGGAGATTAGAGGATAGAAACTAAACAAAGCGTGTGGAGGACGCCTATCGGTGATCTTCGCCGAAGATCGTCGATCGTCCGCGCTCGTCGGATCGGCCGCGACCAGTTCGTTTCCAACTGCAACCTTTGAAATTCGTATTAGGATCGGGACACGGGCAGCGGCCGTAAGAAAAGCATCGCCTTTAGCGGCGTTCCCTTGAATCGCGACTCCGCCGGCGAGCTCGTCGCATTCTCCGCAGTGTATCGGCTACGATTCGATTCGCAATTAGAAATTGAAAACGTGAAGCTCGGATACCGTGCGACCGTGTTATCGGTGTCCTATTTTAAGAGACTCTTCGCGAGACCGCGAGACAAAGACCGTTTCGGAGCTGTTTGCTTTCACGGTTTCAACATCGTGTCTCAGCGAGATAATATATATTGCAACCGCGGAAACACTTCGATGCACTTTGCATCAGCCGATTATGAAATCGTCGCGCGTACTGCACGAGGGATCCGCCGAGTAGAGGGTGTCAGGGCGACCGGAGATAATCCCGAGCGAGGTGGAGGACATTGTAATGGAATAGTTGATAAAGCGGGAGAAGAGAGGACGTCGCGGCTCGTTTTCACGGAGAAAAATCGCCGCGATCGCAGCAACATAGCCAAGGTTATGGTCGAGATAAACCGGTGCTTGTGAACAGATAAGACGTGGACTGCCGCTTTGAAGGCTAGCGCGCGAGAGATCGGACGAGTGCGCGGCTGGTTAGAGGTCCGCTCGGATCTCGTCGGAAGGTGTTGCCCGTTACATCGGAGCTCGATTCACGATCTCCACCTGTCGATTGGATCCGTCTCGATCGAGCTGCGCAGGAGCGACTGAAATTCCGCCGGAGAGTGTCAGCGATGCCAGACGCACGACACTGTCCACGATCGTGGCTGCTTTGAAGTGACAGTTTCCTGTTTTCCTGGACGGTTCGGTACGTCGCGGTTCTTGTGACACGTGCATTTACGATCGTCGAAGAAAAGCATCGAGAAATCGAATTACCTGGATCCAAGGCCCCTCGTGCGAGAGGATTGCGCGCAGCGACGGAACGACATCGCCGGCTCGAGTTAATAAACCGCGGGACGCCGTCGAGGACGCTCGATTCTATCGATCATATAACACTTGTAATCGCGGTTTCCCAGCACCTTGACTCACCGCCTTTCTTTTCGGAATTCCGCAGACGGTGGTATTTACCAACAAGCTATTCAACCGTGTCTACTACTAGCGGCGCGGCGCTCGTAAACATTCGTAAGCGTACGCCAGTCACGCTCGGCGATCCAGCAATCAGTGATCCATGGCGCGGAGATGTTGGCGCTTCCCTTACGCGCAATCATACACGATCGTTCAACTGACAAGCGGCCGCACAATTTTTCTTTTGTCCAGATAGACAAAGTCATCGGAAGGTGAGAGAGGCGATAGTCACCTTGAAGACCGATCGCCATCAGCGTGTACTTCGCGACGAGATTACGACGAACTTTGGACGATCGTACGATAAAGAACCGCGTCATTTTTCTTCTTTCCACGATACGGAAACAGTCCGCCAAAGACGAAACCACTTGCCTCGATTGCGACCCTTTCGATCGCCGCAAAGAAACCGCTTCGGCGAGGCTGATCGATATCGGCTCTCCGATCATTTACATCGAATTCGCGATGACCGTGGATTACTAGACGCTGCGGCAGACCGATGACATTGCACTGTGACATTGGAATTGTGGAGTGAATATAGTTTTGTGTGCGTAGTGTTCTTCGGTGAACAGCTAGCTGAGTTCGCAGCAGACTTGTCGCAAGCGTGACCAGAGACTTGGCTACCTCAGCTTCCTCGAGATCCGTCGAAGGCTACACTAGACGGTGCCTAGGATAGGACTTAAGCTGTGGACTTGAGAAAAGTGAGAGACGGTACCTGTTTCCACGGCTGCTGCTTCCTGCTCTTATACTGGAGCTGTACTTGCCGTACGCACCACTGCCGGGGGGTGGCGGAATCCTCCCGGCGGTGAGCAGCGGATCCACTTCAGGAGGGTGTCGTCCGGTACTGTTGGGTGGCGTCGATTTGTCGATGTCGGCTGCAGTACAGCCGGTCGCGACGCTACCGACGCTACCGACGCTACCGAGTAGCGGTCCGCCGCCTCATAATCCGCTCCACCATACACCTGGGGGACTTCCGTTGCCGCCGTCGCTGGGATCGGCGCCGGTGATGATGCCGCGACCACCGACGAGCTCCATGCCACCTTTGGGACCCTCTTTGCCGCCCTCGCATCAGGACGCCGCCGACTTGGCGGAGGCTGCGCCCAACCAGGACGTCCTTCTGGCTCTACTCGCCAGGAACAAGAACCTAGAAGGTAAGGATTCTTGGTGTGTTTTTGTCGTGCCAACGTGCCCCCTTCGGGATCCCTTCGAGTCGCGGTTTTGCCAGTCGGCCAGCGATCCTCGAGATACGTTTGATCGATCGGGGAACAGGGTCGAGACGCTTTCAGGAGTTCTGGTGAATCTTGCCGTTTTGCTTGGACGAGGATTATATGCGGGATCATTAGTGACGCTCGAGCTGCGGATTTAATGCATTTATGGCGAAATTTCGGATACCAGATGCATAGCAAATATTTGAAGGATTAAGAAACGCTATTGTATCATTTTCAACTCATTAAAGTTATTAGCCGTTTGTATTCTAAAGTGTTGTATCATGTTTCGAAATAATCTGTAGATTGTTAAACTTATTTATATCTAAGGAAACTGTTAAAAGTGTAACTATTGTACGAGTCGCAAGACTCAATTTTATGTGCGTAAAACGCACTAACAATAACTCACGTAAAAAGAAAATTCTGTAAGTCAGAAAAGCTATCTCGAATTTAGAGATGGCGAAAACGTTTATGGCATTTATGGCGAAATTTTGGATACCAGATGCATAGCAAATATTTGGAGGATTAGGAAACATCATTGTATCATATCGAACTCATTAAAGTTATTAGCCGTTTGTATTCGAAAGTGTTGTATCATGTTTCAAAATAATTTGTAGATTGTTAAACTTGTTTATATCTAAGGAAACTGTTAAAAGTGTAACTATTGTACGAGTCGCAAGACTCAATTTTATGTGCGTAAAACGCACTAACAATAACTCACGTAAAAAGAAAATTCTGTAAGTCAGAAAAGCTATCTCGAATTTAGAGATGGCGAAAACGTTTATGGCATTTATGGCGAAATTTTGGATACCAGATGCATAGCAAATATTTGGAGGATTAGGAAACATCATTGTATCATATCGAACTCATTAAAGTTATTAGCCGTTTGTATTCGAAAGTGTTGTATCATGTTTCAAAATAATTTGTAGATTGTTAAACTTGTTTATATCTAAGGAAACTGTTAAAAGTGTAACTATTGTACGAGTCGCAAGACTCAATTTTATGTGCGTAAAACGCACTAACAATAATTCGTATAAAAAGAAAATACTGTAAGTCAGAAAAGCTATCTCGGATTTAGAGATGAAATGGTTTCGAGTGTAAAGAGTTAAGAAACGAAATAAGAGCCTGTGCACCTTCTGCAGCATTTAATGCAGACGATTTTTATTTTGCATAAAAATCCGCAGTCTAGCGTGTTGTGGGTAGAGATTTCTTGCATGATGGGATTTATCATGCTTTAATATAATATTTTTCGTAAGTCGTCATTTGTGGTTGTAATTTGTCTTTTAAATTCTGTCTTACCGGACATCCAATTGATAATGATTCTAGGAAGCAGAGTTGGTTGGTTTCGCTAAGATAGGTTAAAAATATTCAATAAACTTGCATGGAAATTGACGGGAGAGAGGGCTATTGTCCTTTCAGTGTAACCATCGTTCACAACTTGTTGAATTATGTTGGCTAAAAGCAGATAGTCATTAATGATAGATAGATCAGATAGTCAATAATTTATAGAGCTGAATTAGTTGTCTGTCAACTTCTGTCTAGACGAAGTGCTAGAGAATATCATGTTCATTAATATTAACTAGATTTAACTAGATTTTTATAACATATACTTGATTATCGAATTGTTGGTTTTATTGTTACACAATAACACAATAATACTCAATTGAAAAAGTAAATTTTGGGAGACATTGCTTACAGGGATGTGTAAACGCATCTGTTGCAAAATAGAAAAAACGTTAGAAGAATGAGAAAATAACGAGCATTACTCTGTTAACGCTAAATCTACAGAGCGGTAATAGCGATTGGTGTGCATTGTCCCATAAAAGTGAGAAGATCGAATTCATTTAGATTTTATAATGCTTTTGTTATAAAACCTGCTCCGGCAATGTAATTTATTCAAGCATTTCTCATAAAAATGTCTCTAAAAGTTTGTAGAATCGTGAAATAAAGAATCGACCGTGATAGGATTAGTGTTAAAATGAGAGAAGAGAGTATTTAATACCCAATAATGACTGAGAGTTTCTATAATAGTTAGTTATACAAAAATATAAGAAGAAAATATCAATTAGAAAGCGATTGTTAGTCCTTACAGCTGCCAAAAGACATTGTCAATGGTTAAATAGGTGACGATGCGTCGAGGAAGAAGGAAACGACAGCATTTCGACGGGTAGTAAAATTTTCAGAGAAATTAAAAAATGTAACTGTTATGAAATTAGTATCGATTTCGTGTCTTCGCTCACTGTCGTGAATCTTTAAGAGGGCGACGCCAACTACCGAACGAGAATTAATTGACGAGAGCCAGATTTAGCCAGATTTAGATTGTCGAAAGGAACACGTTGCAATTTAACCTTGGTGGATTCATTGAACCATCTCTGAGGAAGGGGGAGCACTAGTTTTCGATGACTTCGCCGCTATCACGGTTGTTCTCGTGATATCAGGTCAGGTTGAAAATTTTTGTGCCACATTACGCGAACAGTGGCTGGCTCTCGATAAGAACTCTCGATCCGAATGATCGATAAGATTAACGTCCGTCTCGAGACGGCGCGATTGTCACATTTGGGCCATAACTTTTTATATCGATCTCGGAAGATCCAGCTTTTCTGGACTCCACGAACAAAATATAATTCAAATTGTGTAGAGTATAATTAACGAAGTTCGAAAACGTAAATTCTATTGATGTATAATACATTATCAAGAGTTCTATTTCGAGACGATTTATGACAATCGCTTTTTTATCAGTGAAAAGCACCGTCACACTTTATCTCCGTATTATATAGATTAAGCAAAACAGACCAGTCCGTTTTATGCTATTGATGATTTTCTTTCGATAATTGAAGGGTGCAACATTTGCTACTTTTAATGTCCTCGATATCTTGGAGCGTGATTTAATCTTTCATTCAACCGAATATATTATGATTGCGACAATCTTCTGGAATGCAGGAACAGTCAACAAAATAACCGATGCTTTACTTTTTCCTTGATAATCTTTGTCTCGTAGCACTGTCTAAACAAAATTAATCGCCGAAATGAGTTTGAAGTAGCGGTCAGATAAAAATAACATTTGGATAAAATCTTTCTTTCCTAGAAATTCATCGACAACATTAGCTCCACTTTCCTGTTGCAAATGAATTTGTAAAGGTACACAAACATTCTGTTTCTGTATTGTTCTTTATATCGACAAATTCGTGACAGAAAATGTCTGTCGATTTGTCAAACAACGTTCTGTTAACATCTCATGTCGTCATTCGACGATTTTATTCGATTCTTGCAGTCTGTTCTTCATTTAAGGAGGAAGCACGTCTGAAAGAACTCTTGCAAATACAGCTTGCCACTTGTATTTTCACCGAAGGTATCAAACGCTTCTCAAATGTGATGAGAGTAATGACTAGAGCTATTGGGTTAGAAATCTGATCGTTCGTTTTTACGAAGATACGAAAAGTGGGTCAATCGGCCCAAGCATTGAACATGTAACATTTCCAAAACAACTAAAAGTTTCAAAAGAATTAAAAACACGAAAGAGGTATCTCGAGAAAAGATGAAATTGTTTGCAAAAAATTTCATTAACCAGAGCATCGAGAACATTTCAAATTTCATAATTTCAAACATGATCGGAATTGATATTTCATTCTAAGCTCGAACTGCTACGAGATGCAGAACTATAATTTATCTTTTATATTTAGTGACAGAATATTTTATAAACATAGAAATAGGTATTCATTTGGTATAAGCTAGTTATTTTTAGAAATTGATTTCGCCTTATGATTTACTGATGCAAATATCTGTGAACCGATCATTCAGCGGGCTATACATAAATCAGAATTTATATACCTTATTAATAGAATTTAATATAAATCTGAGTACCGTTTACCTTTAAGCGATCAAAAATGTACGATGTCTCAGCGTTGATCGAATGTAATTACGACCGATGAATCGCTCATGAAAATTTTCAATTAAAATGATTAATATTTATTTTCGATTGTAATTATGCGATGTGCTTCATCATTATTCTATTTTAAAGAAAAGTATATTCAAGTAAAAGTTATTCCGAGTATATATTTCAAACTGATGATTTCGATGTATCAAAAACGATTATATTCAGAGGCGTTTATTTTAAAGGAAGCACCTTTTCCAATAAAAACTTTCTTAGAGCTCCATTAGACTGTATATGCAACACTGTCTCAAATTACTAGATCGCGAATTTGATCGTTCGTGATGAAGAGCAGCTGCAATTTGAAATAGTATAACAATTAAAAAAAATTGCAGAGTATTAAAGTAAAGTAGCCAGATTTTATGCATTTATGGTAAAAATGAGTAGACAACTTTAAACAGTGAGAAGGTTAAAAAAAAATAAGAATGTTTATACATTAAGATGAACCTACTAAAAATTTTACAAAATGAAAAAAATTGTACTTAGTT